ACTGTAATCCCAGCAATTTGGAAGGTTGAGGCAGGAGGATGGCTTGAGGCCAGGAGTGGACAACAAAGCAAGACCCTGTCTCTATAAAAAAAAAAAAGAAAAAGAAATCGGCCAGGTGTGGTGGCTCATGCCTGTAGTCCTAGCTACTCAGGAAGCTCAGGCAGGGGGATCACTTGAGGCCAAAACTTCAAGGTGACAGTGAGCTATGATTTTGCCACTGCACTCCACCCTGGGTGACAGACAAAAAGAGAGAATAATGCTAAATCTACTTGTGCTCTAGAATGGAACAACAAAGCCTGGATGTACATCTGTTTATGGTATAGCTTACTGAGTATTTCAGCCCACTGTTGAGGCCTAATGCTCAGGAAAAAAAGGATTTCTTTCAAAATATTACTGCTCAATGACAATGCACCCGGTCACCCAAGAGCACTGATGGAGATATACAAGGAGATAAATGCTGTTTTCATGCCTGCGAACACAATATCCATTCTGCAGCTCATGGATCAAGGAGTAATCTCACTCTTCAAGTCTTATTATTTAAGAAATACATCTCATAAAGCTATAGCTGCCATAGATAGTGTTTCCTTTGATAGATCTGGCCAAAGTAAATTTATAATTCTAGATGCTATTAAGAATATTTGTGATTCATGGGAGGAGGTCAAAATATCATCATTAATAGGAGTTTGGGAGAAGCAAGAAGTTGATTTCAACCCTCATGGATGACTTTGAAGGGTTCAAGACTTCAGTGGAGGAAGTAACTGCAGATGTGGTAGAAATAGCAAGAGAACTAGAATTAGAATAGGAGCCTGAAGATGGGACTGAATTGCTGCAATCTCATGATCAAACTTGAATGGACAAGGAGTTGCTTCCTACAGAAGAGCAAAGAAAGTAGTTTTCTGAGACAGAATCTACTTCTGGTGAAGATGCTGTGAACACTGTTGAAATGACAAAGGATTTGGCATATTACATAATTTTAGTAGATAAAGCAGTGGCAGGATTTGAGAAGACTGACTCCAAATTTGAAAAAAGTTCTACTGTGGGTAAAATGCTATCAAACAGTATCGCCTGATACAGAGAAATCTTTAACAAAAGGAACACTCAATCAATGTGGCAAACCTCATTGTAGTCTTGTTTTAGAAACTGCCGCAGTCAACCCAACCTTCAGCAACCACGGCTGTGATCAGCAGCCATCAACACTGTGGCAAGACCCTCTATCAGCAAAAAGATTATGACTTGCTGAAGGCTCAGATGATTATTAGTATTTTTTAGCAATAAAGTTTTTTTTATTAATGTACGTGCATTGTCTTTTTAGACATAATGCCATTGCACACTTAATAGACTATAATACAGTGTAAATGTAACTTTTACATGCATTGGGAAACCAAAAACTTCCTGACTTCATTCACTGTGATATTCACTTTATTGCGGTGGTCTGGACCTGAACCTGCAATATCTCCGAGGTATGCGTGTACTTATTCTTCTTCGGTTAGAACAGAAACACTATCAGCCTCCCCAATTAGGCAAAAAAAAGTTATTTGCTACCCATGACTATTGTTTGCTAAGTTACAGAAGACAGAATTTCTAAACATTTACCATCATCATCATCATCATACCAAATTTATCATACTTCAGTATTAAAAAGCTGCAGTGAAGGTGTAGACCGTGGTGTGAGACTGCGTGGATTTGACCCTATTGCTACACTTAGCAGCTGTGTGACTTTGTCAGGCTACTTAACCACCCTGTGCCACATGTTCCCTACCTGTAAAAGGGGAAAACAATATACCTATGACACAGTGTGTTTTGAGTATTAAATAGTTATCAAACCCGAGTACTTTAAAAAAGTGCATGGCATATAGTAAGAACTATTTAGGTCTTAACTAGCAGAAATTCTCCAAGAAAATTCAGTAAGGTACAACAGGTCTAACTTAATTACTAAGTAACTAACTTAGTTAATAACTGAGGAACTATGAATGTGGGCCAAAGGAAAACCATCAGCTTGTATGGAATTCCATATTTAATGGCAATCACACTATTAGCCTGAAATTCTTGTGTGTACTTGCTCAGTTTCTACAAAGTCCATTCCAGTGGTGGAGCTCTTGTAGGACTAGCATCCACCCAACACGCGCCTCATAAAGGGCTATGTACGCGAGAACGCCTATTAATTTAAGTACCTGGTAATTCCCCCTCCAAATTTCCATCCTTTAGGCCATTTAAAAATATCCTTTCTTCTTTCCCTTTATGTATAAAGCAAATGAAAAGTTGAGCACTGGCTGAAGAGCGAGCAGATTTGAGGGGATGAACCCCTCAGGCCTGGCCAATGCACTGTAGGTTGACACTGGAGGGGGTTCTATAAAGATGAGCCCAGCTTTCCTGACTGTGTGTTCTTTAGGATGACACCTCACGCAACCCAGTTTAACATCTCAAGGCCACGAATGCAGGCTTAGCATATAATGATCATCCTGTCATGAGCTCCCAATTCGCTTCATTTAGGCTAGGTATTGATGAAATACAAATTAAGTTTGGATAATGGTGTAAAGACAGTAGCTGGATTTTATTTAAGGTGACTGCTCGGGGGAACAATTGGGGGACAAGGGGAAACAGAGAGTGAGACAGAAGAGTCTGACTTATGTGTTGCTCTTAAACCTTGGCTGGCCGTCAGCTGCCCGGAGAAATCAAATTGGTCTAAACAAAGCTGTCGGTGGAGTGGTGCCCACGGGCTGCACAGAATTTCTGACACCAGAAAAATTTTGTTTTCCTCAAGTAAGGCTGTAGGGAGAATATTAATAGCCATCCCTCAACCTCTTTTTTCTTTCATTTTCCATGTGAAGAGATTACTGTCTGAAGATCTTAGCATAGATGAAGGAAAAAAAGATACCTTTCTGCTTAATGCGGGAAAGAAAACTCCTAAACATTTACTACAACAGGCACTTGCTGAGTGAGTGTACACAGCTCATAATTTTTTCAACCGCTCTAAGACCTATGTGTTGTTATAGTTAAATTCAAGGAGGTAAAATAATGTGCCCAGGTTCAAAAAGCTCCCAGTTGGAAGCAAGATTCAGACCTAGCTTCCAATTCTGCTCTTTTTAAAAATGAATTTATGAAACAAGGAATATTCTTAAAATATTTGATTAGTTGAGAACTTAAAAATGTATCTGTACTTTTCATGTTTTCATTTGGTATTAAAGTTTTGCTTCCCTTTTCAAACCACGTTGCCTTTCAAATTAGTAGGAACATTATTATAAAAATAAGACGTGACAGGGTGTTTATTATGCTGCTCCTTGGGTGGCTGTGCATGCAGCCTTGTGATTAACACTGCAGTTAAGGCATGGCACCGTCCCAGCATGACACATCTTAACATGTTTTATGGTTTGAAAGGGGAATTACCAAGGTTTTGCAAACTTTAAAAACTTGTGCAAGACCCTTCATTGTGGTTAAAAAGGTATATATAATTGTTTTAAAATGTAGAAGTGCTATCTAACATGCAATGTTCATAAACTTGAATCATTCCAAATCCTTAGAAACCTGAAACAACAAGCTTAATGTTTTCTCTACTACAAGAGTATCAGCAAATAGAAATGCAGAAACTTTGAAGCACTGTGTAAGTTTGACCAGTTATTTCTCCTAAGAGTTCTAAGGAAACATTATTTTACCCATTTGCTGACACCAAAAAATGAGGGCAAAATTGAAATTAAAACTGAGTTTTTGATAACTGGCGAACCCCAAAGGGAAAAAAAAGAGGAAAGATATGAAGAGAGACTGAGGTAGTCACTGGGAGAAGAAATTCCTTGGATGCTATTAGGATGACAGAATTCTGATGGACAAATCAGGAAATAAAGACTGATTTTTCAGAGTGGCCTGGTATTAGAAACTGGGTTGTGTATATGATGTGTATATTTTTAAGTTCTTAGAAGACAAAACTATACTTGAAAATAGTTTTATACAGAATTTAGCTCAACTGTCTATGCCCATACCACCCTGAATTAACCTGATCTTGTCTGATCTCAGAAGCTATGCAGGGTCGGGCCTGGTTAGTACTTGGATGGGAAAATTTAGCTCAACAATATATGCATCAAAATGGATAATACTAAGATGATAATATGCTAGTAGGATTTTATAATAGGGGCAGATTTTAGGCTCATATGCTTATAAAGACAAAGACTTGTTATTTTTCTAAAATATGCCTTTCTGTATACTATATACAGCGTAGATCAAAAAAGTATGAACTCTAAGAGGATGCTTTTAAGACAGGTTACAAAAGATAAGCATCTCCCTATCCCTGAAGGAAAGCAGCAAATACTTCAAGAGCATATACTGGCCCTGAGCACTAAGACACTGTTCATACATGCTGAATAAAGATTTATAAAGATTTTTTTTTTGGCACCACAAAATCAAATGTTTTTTAAGATACTATTTTCTTAATATTTTTCTGTAGGCAAAATTATCAAAGAAGAGAAGCATAAAATGATTCTCAGAAAGCTGTCATGTTCTCTGTTTCAACTCCACAAAAGAATTTTTACTAGAGAGTGAGAGCCTTTCAAATCTCCTGTCATTCAGGTAAAGAAATTCTAATCTAGCTGCATGGCCAGTTGAGGCTCAGAGTTAATCAAATATGCTGACAAGCCGAAACAGGAGGGGGTTCACTCCCACACCTCTGGCTCCTCACTTGCGAATGATGACAATCACTTGCTGTTTAAGCTATGAGAACTCCAAGGTGGAGGAAGGAGAACCAGTGGGCACCTAATTGAGTTTACCAGATGAAAAGTCACATCACCCTAACTCACCTCAGTTCTCCTCTGTCTTTAGGGAATGGTTGAATTTTATATAAAGCCTATTTATAAACCACTGCAAGTGATACTTGCATTCATCTTGCACTGTGACATCATTTCCTCATCAATAATTTAAGCATAAGAAATGGATTAAAGGGACTCTGAAGGGCCTTCTCACACATGGAAAAATAGAAACCAATTCAGCGCTCCAAAATATTAATTCAGTCCTCTTACCTTGCTCTTTGATCTGACGAATTTGCTTCACAGTTTCTTTTAGGATTGCACATTTGTCAGGTTTGAAGTTAAAGTTGTCTATATCATTAAAATTTGCAAAAATCAGCTCAGCAAGTTCTTCTATATATTTATTTTCCTGTTCACGATTACGTTTCTCAGTGTTCCTTTTGGGGCTAAAAGGAAGAAACACGTTTTATGATGTATTTGAAAAAAGAGCTATTATGAGAAAAGATAAACATGGCAAACAAGTTTAAAAGAAAGCAAACAAAAGTTACCTATATAAACACAGAAGTACTTTGGGGGGAAAAACCCAATTTTCCTAAAATGTTGCATGCTTTTTAAAAATCAAACTTAGCCTAGTTTGTAATTATATGTCTACTCGTGTTCAATGTGCTTAATGACTCCCGTTGGCCTATCAGCTTCACAATGACAAAGATCAGGATGACTGTGCTCACCGCTGTGCTTAATGCAGTGCTTGATACAAGTGGGCACTGAATTTATTGTCAAAATAATAAAGGAATGCTTTAAAAAGGTAAGGTTGGTCACATTTATAAAAATTTATTTATAATTTATAACAGAAAAAGCAGCCAGGCATGGTGGTGCACACCTTGTAGTCCTAGCTACTCGGGAGGCTGAGGCAGGAGGATGGCTTGAGCCCAGGTGTCTGAGGTTGCTATAAGCTATGATCATGCCACTGTACTCTAGCCAGGGTGACAAGTGAGGCCCTCTCTTTAAAAATAATAATTATAAAAACAAAGCTATATAATTTCATATATTTCTTTCGAATGTTAGTAATCAAAGCAAATAGCCTTTTAAAATAATGCCAAAAGTCAGCTAGAAACAAAAGTGAAACTGGCCAAGCACATTTGTTAACTGTCCAGGCTGAATGACATGAAAAACATAAACAAACAGTCCAACTTCAAACAAAGCTTCTGAAAGTTAATGAAAATGGAAAATACAAAAACTGGCAAAATCTTCTCATTTGAATTTAACAAAATAGAAATTCAAAAGTTCCTTTGGTAACAAACAACAGTGTATAATTATTTTCTCAAGTGCAGCAGAGGGCCCACTTAATGACATTCAAAACAATACAATAAGGAAGAAAAGCAAGTTGTTTAATGTAGTAACATTCTGTAGTTTCATACATGAATATCTGTATATACTACTAACTTTAAAATTTTAGAAAATTGTAATGGCCTTGAATATATTCATCTCTAAATATCAGTTTTACTTTCATAAACTAATAACCCTAAGACATAACACAATTTCTCAATTTTAAAGTATTTTTATGATTTATCCAAGATCACCCAATGAGTTATCGGCACAGCAGGGACCAGAATTCGGTTTTCTCTAAACCTCATTTTTTATCCCTAGCTTCTGCTTTATGAAGTATAGGGAAAGGGAGAGTGGCCGGAATGCGTAGAATAGCCCAGTTCCCCCTTTAGCCCCTCTACCTCCACCCTCCCTCACCCCACCAACCTACACAACATAATAAATAAATGACAAATAAGTGAGAAAGTGGAGCTGTGTTACAAAACCCCCTGAGACTCTCAGGGAGAGGGCTCAGAGGCTGCTGCACCACAGCACCAGCACAGGGAGGGAAGAAAACAGCCCCATCCTCTGGACCAGGTCCCATTTTACTCAGTTGCCTGCCCAGGTAGGGCTGCTGAGGATTCGGGGCTGTCTGACAGACAGGAGGCTGTGGTTTGCCAGGAAGTACCAGGGAACCTAGAGGAGCTGGGGGCTGGGATGTGGAGAGTGGAGATTTAATAGGCTTGATGTTTTGCTTGGCAACCAAGAGGGGAAAAGGGAATATAAAATATTGGCTTTTTGCCCTTTCTCCTTCTCTGCCTCTCTTGATGACTTTTCCTAGCCCTCTTCCCTACTATTACCCTGTTTGATGTTTTTACTGGCCATTAGATAGAAGTTGCTGTTTTTATTTAACTTTTAAAATCATTTATATGATTTAAGACTTCAAAAAGTAAAAAGTCTTTCTTCTACCTTTGTTCCCTATTCTACTAATTGACATCTACCAAACTGGGTAACAACTATTAGTGTTTCTTGATTATCTTAAAACAATACAAATTCAGAATCTTTTTCTCTTCCTTCTTTGTACAGTCGGTTGTACTCCATAAACATTCTCTAAACCTTGCTATTTTTCTGTAAACATATTCTTAAGAGATTTTTTTCATATTAATCCATAAAGAATGTCCTCACAGTTGGCACTGTGTTCCAGGTTATATACATACCATAGTTGTTTAAACAGTTCCCTAAAATATTTAGGTTTTTGTTTTTCCTAATCTTTTACAATTACAAACAATGCTATAAAAGAGTAAATTCATACATACATCATTTTGCACGTATGAAAGTATACCCTAGGAAAATTCCTTGAAGCAGAACTGCTAGTTCAAATAAGACACACATTTATAACTTTGATATTGCCAAATTACCCTGCATAGACATTGTAACAATTTACACTTTTTAACTTACAATTCATAAGCTGAAACTTGCTTTAAAATAAAAAGCCACAATTTTTTCCCTCTACTCAAAAGCAACTATATTTAACATTTCATGTCATTAAAAAATAAAACAGGCCAGGCGTGGTGGCTCACACCTATAGTTCCAGTTACTTAGGAGGCTGAGGCAGAAGAACTGCTAAAGCCCAGGAGTTTAAGGTTGCATTGAGCTAGAATGGCCACTGCGTTCTAGCCAGGTGACAAAAACAAAACCAAAAACAAACCATACAATAAAATTATTAGCAAATCTTTTTACTATGAGACCTTGTAGTTGTTATAACATTCTGTAATCTAACAGAGAAGAAAATGTGAAAAGCTCAAGATTACTAAATAAATTGTAAGGGCCAAATACACAGGGGACATCAGAAGTATATGGCTTTCCTCTTGTAAAAAGTATAAAACCTGTAGCCAATTAGCATATTCAAATGAAAGCTAATACATATTTAAATATTTAACTGTTAGGGAGGAAAACCAAACACAATATTTGAAAAAGTAAAATCAATGCTAAAACAACAAAGAAACATGCCTGTGGCTTTAATAGACAATACTGATTCTTTTTCTCGACAAGAATCTTACCTGGGTCCAAGTTGGTCAGGACATTCCTTGCGTTTTCTTGTCTCTGCCCTGGATGGGTCAGAGGTATTTTCTCCCATCCCACTCATCTTGAACACATATCAGCAACTAAAACAGAAAAAGGGGAGGGGAAAAAGTGAAAAGAGCCAATGATAAAGTATCTGATCATTTTACCAACAATAAAAGAACTTTCATTCCAATCAGAAATTTGACATAAGTAACATATTGTTTTATGTGCCTGTAAAATTTCTAAAGAAAAAGCTGTCTTTTTTTTTTAACCTTAACATAAAAGTGAACATTTAAAAAACAAACAAGCCTACTTCATTGGACCCAAACTCTTTAAACAGGAGTTGTATTTCAACAGCACCAGGAACTGCCATCTGCTAGCCCTGGGCCGGGGCTGCCAGCCTCCAGTTTCAAGAGTGATCTTGCACCATGTGGAAACTACAGGTGTTGTAAGGGGCTCCTCCCAGTCTCTCTTTGGGGTTGGCCAATGTGAAGGAGGTGCTGCAATACCTCACCCATGACAGACAGCCGGGGAAGAGGCAGTGCCACGACACTGAATTGAAGGTTACCAAATTTAGCCAAGTAGATTCGATAACCTTGGTATAGCCCCAAGTTCCTGCACAAAACCTCCTAACCAATGCCCCTAAAACAGGGAACTTCCTTCCTCCCTCCTAGGCTCCCGTACCTGGCTCTCCTGTGGCAGCTGCTTCACTGCTCCTTCCTTGGCACCCTCTCCTCATGGCAGCTCGCTTCCCTGCACACCCCCGCCTTGCACACTGCAGGGTGACTTCCTCTCTCACATCCTGCCACCCCCGAACTTTCCTTCCCTCAGTTGGTTCTAGCTTCTCTTACGGAAGGTCTTAAGATGCACTCAAAAAATCAGGGGAACTTTACTGACCCTGAGGGCGGGGAGACCATTATTCGCACCTGCTTGCTGAATTTCTTTCAGTAAGAAAATAAAAGGACGTGTGATACAAATCACTAACACAATCAAAAAAATATTTAAGTAAGCAAAAACAAGAGAGTGATAGAGGTTTAAGTTCTAAAAAAGCTAAACGAGAGACTTACAAAGACTTTGAGAAATCTGTAAAAGACTGTCACTCAAGGTGCTTAATAACTGCTTAGCAAAACAAAACACCAAAAAAACAACGCAGCCCAACAAGTTCAAGTCAGCATTTAAAAGTCTTTCCTAGAGCTCCAATTCTATGCTGTTTCCCCTTCCTTCTGGTCCCAGGTTTCTAAATCACCTTCATCTCCCTTTACTTTGTATAGTGGATTTCTTCCTTTCTGGACTGGAAAAAATCAGAGGAAAGGCCAAGTCAGTAGAAGCCGAAGAACGAAGAACGTAAGGAAGATGCCAGAGGACGATAGGTCCATCCAGAGCACAAACAGCAGGGTGGGCTAAAGAAAACAGCAGCTAAGACTGATCAATGTATCACTGTAACATACCAAACTGCCCAACTGCTTCCTTCTGCATCGTCTGGGTGCCCAGTCTCACTACAATCATTTCTTCTGGCTGCTATGCTGATCCAAAGGGGCAGCAGAGTTAATTTTGTTTTAAAGATTCATATGTAAGTAGAAGGAGGAAATACTGTATCAGTTGACAGAGGCTGCACCAATTGTACATTGGATTGGAGAGGTCACAAGGGGTGGGGGTTACATTCTGAGAGCTGACGCCTGAGCTTCCTGCTGGTGGGAGTAATGTTAACAAGTCCCAAGGTCCTGCACTGTGGTCACAATTCTGGGCTGATAATAAGTATAATCTGTACTTGGTTACTATTCACTTAGCACACTAAGTACCAATAACTTTACAGATTCAAAGACAAACTAAGTGAGGCAGTACAGCAGAGAGGCCAAGCATCCCTGTCCAAGCTCCACCACTTGGTTATTAGCCATGTGACCGTAAGAAGTTCCTTTACCCCTCGTGCCTTAATTATCTCTTTTGTAAAACTGGGATAATTGTTAGCATCTATAGCACCAGGTGGATTGGCAAATGGCAGAACTGAAATTTGTACACAGGCTTACACAACTCCTACTCTTCGCTAAAATGTTACAGCAAAGGGCCGCCTCCTCAAATACAGCTCCTCTTCCTCTAACCACATAGGTTAAGGTGGGATAAGAAGCAAGATCTGGACTGCATGGGCTTCCCTGCTTGACTCCTTTCTGTCACCTAAATAGCTTTCATTCGTTCAACAAACACTGCCAGCTCAGTGTTGCCGGGAGCACAAGGAGACTGTTGCTCTTAAGAAGAAAACAGAGTGAAAAGGCAGATACATCTGTATATAGGAAATACTCCGATAAGTACAAATAGGCATTACATGGCTGTCATGCACGCCTCTGTACTGTTAGGTCAGAGAGAGAACACTTTGCTGGCTGGGATGGAGCAGGAAAGTGCATGATTTTAAAGGGTGTGGAGGGGACCCCGGGCACTGCAGGAAGTGCAAAGGTAGGGGGAGCCAAAACAAAACAAAAACCAAACCTGAATACCAGAACCCTTTCAGTACTTCTCTCTGAACCACAATTTCCATGGTTTCACTCATGAACATACATGTAAGAAAAACTATTACATATCCACTCTAAGTAAGCTTTCAACAAATGACCCAGGGAATTTTCCCCCTGGGGGCAGCTTTCTATAAGTCATAAAAGTTTAAGTAAATTTTTATCATTAAAACATAACCATCAATATATAGCAAAATGCCCCATATATTAGGTATAGGTGGTTAAGTTTTGTTGATGAAGATGGCTATGTCCGCACCCACACCAAAGTATCACCATGTATATAAAAAGTATAATACTATCAGAAAGATCAGAAAGCTTTTCAACTAACAACTCAAATTAAGTGACCATTTTACTTAAAGTTGCATATGGCCAGTTTGGGGATTTAACATTAGCATTTGCATCATCTACCCTTAAAGGTCCCCAAATACAGATACTAATAACTAATTTCGCATGAGGGCAGAGCACTAACATGTTTCAACAACGGGACCAGAGCGAGATAAGGAGTGGAGCCCAGTGAACAGTTTCTGGTCTAAGGATAGCAAAACCACTGGAACAGATATATTTTGCTTGTCCCTACTCAGGGTTGACTTACAAATCACTCTATTTGTAGTTTTCAAACATCATTAATTTCCTCCTGAAGTAAGTCATTTAAATACCAAGTTTTCCCTTTTTTAATGTAATAGTACCTTGAACACATTCCCTCAAAATTTAAAAATTTCAGCTTTATGAACATGATTGCTTCCTTATTTGTGTGTGTGTGCCCCATATGTCCTCTTTTGTGAGGAATTTTCCTGGGCTATGTGGAGAGAAGGAGAGAGGGAAAGAGGGAGAAAGGGAGAGAGCGCACTAAGGTTTGGCGTGAAGAAGGGAGGACAGACAGCCTCTCTCCTGCGGCAGGGGGTGGCTGTGGTCCTGGAGCAGAGCCGTGGGTTTATGCCCTGCTCCTAAGTGGGTGAACCAGAGCAGTAACAGCGAACCTCATTAACGAGATGCTCTAAGAGGAGAACTGTGGCGCCCTCGTCTAGATGACCCATGTCCTTAACGCCCTACCTGAGGCTCAGCTGGCAGCAAGTGTTCACACCAGAACATGTGTTGGGGCCAGGTGACTTCATCCCCTCCCCTCCCCACTCAAAACACTGGGCAAAGCAGAAGTAACACAAATAAAAAGCATATACTGGTAAGTTATACAAATGACTTGCATGTAGTATAGATTTCCTCACAGAAAAATATCTAAAGTAAAATGAGCCATATGCATAGATGAGTTTTAATGAATTTTTGTAGATCTAATTTAAACATTGATTTCCAATGTCAAAGGTGGAGATGGAAAACACAGAAGGACAGTACTGAAGGTCTGAAAATTTTATGCGGTAAGCAGCCTTAAATTAACAGTTTTTTTTTTTTAATTTTCTGTATGTTTCCAACAGTCACATGAAATTAAAATTCTTGAGCATCTCACTTCTCAATTATGAAACTGTTCAACATAAATCACAAAAACTCAAAATGACACAAGTAAACTCTCAGGCTGAATTTGATGGTAATTACAGTCATTGAGAACAAACCGGTTTCTACCAGATGTTGGGGGTTGTGAAAGGACAAGACTGAAAATAAAGTTTCAATCTGTCCATTCTTCTTATCTATAAAGACACAATAGCTTTGCTTTCCCTGTGATGGTACATCCTCCCTCGCATCCTTTGATACCAACCTGCATGAGCTAGGCAGTAGAGGAAAGAGTTACAACCACAAGATTCATAAATTTTATTTTTTAAAACTAACAGTGTTCTGGGAGGAGTGAACAATGCCAGTAAAATCCTTGGCATAATGACTACAAAAATGAAATGTTAAACCTCAACACAATTCAAAAATGCACTCTTTCATGGAATTCATCGATACAACTTACAAGGTAACAAAGCTGTTGCTCAAAATACAGCCTCATGACATTAAAGCTAGTTAATCATCCAGAATTCATGTAAACGATAATATGCATTTTATCTTTTATCAGTATAGGCCATCTTCCAAACAAGGCCTGTAAAACTGTCAGATGTATTATACACTGGACAAATTCAGTTAAAGAATAAATAAGGATAATGCTGCTGAAATCCAAACATAATAAAGTGATTAAATACTAGATCTCTATTGCTAGCTCCAAGAAATACTTTAAAGTTAGGCCCTCTCTGAAATTCTTTACTTTGAGATGATATTTACAGCGAAATTCCAAGCTAGAAATAACATAGAAAGAGCTGCTGAAACAACTTCCCTTACCAATGCCTACACGAGGAAGACCTGCCTGATAAATCATCTAGCCCTGGATAAGAGACAGGAAAGGCTTCTAAGGCTTCCAAGGCCTCCAGGTTCCTTCCGAACTCTCTTTACAAGAGACACGTGAAATTGTTGTATAATATGTCATCTGATTCTTCATAGACGTTTTAAGACCAAGAAATGCTCAAGCAATATTGAAAGCACACATAAATCCTCACTTCAATACTTTTTCATTTCTATTCGACTAAACTACGAAAGGATTATCTTTTAGAGCCCCCACCACTACTCAGAAAGTCACCTCAGCAGCTAAAGCTTCATTCACTATTTCTTTATCACAAATGAAAACA